TCAGTGCTCCTTGGTTCTCCTATTGATCCTAGTGCTTATGAGGCAGTCAGCGTTCCTTGGTTCTCCCAGTGATCCTATAGGCAAGGCAGTACTCCTTGGTTCTCCTATTGATCCTAGGGCTTATGAGGCAGTCAGTGCTCCTTGGTTCTCCTATTGATCCTAGGGCTTATGAGGCAGTCAGCGCTCCTTGGTTCTCCTAGTGATCCTATAGGCAAGGCAGTGCTCCGTGGTTCTCCTAGTGCTCCTATAGGCAAGGCAGGGCTCTTTGGTTCTCCAAGTGTTCTTTGGTGGGATCTCCTAGTGGGCGGCTGCCCAGCGCGTTCTGATTTCTACGGCTTTTTGGCCGCCTTATATACTGCCTGGTTGCTACCTGGTCACGTGCTTTTTCTCCTTTCCTCTAGTACTAAGCAGGGGTATTCCAGCTGGCATCACTTATTTACCGGTTTATACCGGTCTGTTCTGCCTCGTACCAGCCGTTTGTTTACACGCCGTGCCGCATTTAGGCCGATTACATCAGCTGCCCTGGCCGAGTAATTTTTCATTCCTATTCTATTCTAATTATTGTTTTACTTATTTACTCGTTATCCTTTTAACCTGTATTTTATTATAGCTTGACCTTTCCTTTATTTGATTGTGCACATTGATCTCATAAGTGGAATTGAACACGTAGGTCCCTACAGTAAAACTCACGCATGTTTTGTATGCCTCATGACTTGCACATTGTTTTAGTTTTCATCAATGCCACTGAATCCTTCAGTATGTCAGTGCTACTGAGCTCGTACAAACGGTTAAACACTCATTGCGAACGTCATGATTGATGGCAAACGATGATAGTTAAGCTAAAAATTATTTTTTAGTCGCATCCGTTGTCAAATGTAGTCAGCGACTTTTTTTAATCTACTCCCTAAAATACGTGCTTTCATGCAATACTCGACTTAAATGCCATCCTGCCAATGCTATTTGTAAAGCTTGCACGGATGAAAATATGTACACTGGGGCCAAGAATATGCCGTTCTTTATTATGAGAATATTCAAGTCTCCTATTCAAGTTTATTTATTAAGAGAATGGCCGAAGAAGTGCATGAATGTTTGCTGCTTTTCACTCCTTAGATGTAACAACGTTACAGTTCTATTGACTGGAATACGGTCGCATCATATATGGTTTATATGGCATGATATGTCCTTTCTTTAAAAACGTCCCCTGAACTTTAGTGGGGAAATTGCGGGAAAAATAGGTTAAACGTACTTAATAACATAAACGCGGATAAAGCTTACACATGCGGCGGTATGAACCTTCTTTTGTTTTTCGACATGCAGAAATACATGGGAATTTTATATAGTACACAGTTAGGTTAAACGATAGAGATGATGTCCAGGACGGACAGGACAGTAATGAAGATCATCGTATGTATGAGATCATAAGCGTCCTGCACATGATCTGTAGCCTTCAACCGCAATGGCGACTGTGAAGAACAACATTGTAGAATAACTATAATAATCATGTTTACTATTGAAAGGTCATCTCACCGATAAAAAGTAATCTTTGCTGCTTTTGACTCCTTAGATCTAACAACGTTACAGTTGTATGCACAACAATACGGTGGCATGATATATCAATGGATATGGATGAAATATGCGAATCGCAATATCCACAAATGATAGATACTACCCCAAGTACACAATTGTACTGTCAAGATGCATACCGGAACCCAAGTACTCTAAATTACCATGGATACGGCTAGACTGCTAGCCACCTTCACTCCCGCAAGTATCCTGGGCTACACTGAACTTAGTGTAGCGTGTGGAACTGTGGACTGGGTACCAGTTTAGCTTAGCCTGCCAAGCCGTGTGCAGAAAAACTGGTTGAAAATGCTATGAACATAGCTTCGTTGCGCCATCTATCCCACGCTATATGTTGTAGAATAATGTTGGGGCATTAAACAAAAGAAATTGCAAGTTGCTTTTCTACAGTAAAACGAAGCGCCCCGAGCAGCGAACCAACAATTACGAGGATTTCTAGGAAATGTCTAGCTACGTGCGTAGTGAAAAGGCTTGTGGAATCGCCAGAACTGCTGAATTGAGCAATTATCCACGAATCTTGGTATACAGTAAACCTGTGAAGATTTACTCCAATCAAATGCAGCGTATTTGTGTTAGTGTGCCGCTATACGGCTGCTCCGGCCTGCCAATTGTCTAGCCGCCTCTTCTCACCTTGCCATCCTCTACCCTGCAGTCCTTTTTTGTCAGATAGAGAATGACATGAACAGAATGTTTGAAGTCAAATAAAGTATATCACATGTAAATTCTTTGTGGCACAAGTGTGACATCTGGAATTTAATTGACTGCCCCAGTATTAACCACACACTTTACAATGCATATAGCAGCCACATTTTGAGCTTCATATTTGTGCACCTTTCTGTCGCACATTGTTCTCAGATGATGTAGCGCTTTCGTGTGTTTAATGTGGCTCCTGCATCCAAAAGTAAACATTAATTCTTTAACTCATGTGAATTGGTTTGCATTTTAGGTAACCCTGGCATCATTGGTTACTACGAACCTTTTATGGACACCTTATTCAAGTCCTTGAAGGAAAAGGTTTCAGTAGTTGGCATATCACATGCTGGTCATGTTACACCCCCAAAAGGATGTGTGAACAATGCTTCCAACAACTTCAAATCTGGTGTGTGCAGAATGTTCAATCATAATTCTAAAGGTCTAAAATTCGTATTTTAACGTGCACATTCTACATTGTAAGCTACACATCCAACATCCTGTTGATATAAGATCCAAGGCTTGTGAAATCCACATACAAACCTTATGATGTTTGATCAAGAGTAAATCATTGCAAATTAATTATTTTAATTATTTATCTGAATCATTTGAGATTACTTGCTCCTGATTTCATGCAATGTAGTTAACTGCATTCCTGAGTAAAGCCAGTGCTCCCAATAAAATATACATGCAACTTGGTGTTGATTCTATGCAGTTTTACTACATATTTGAGGTATGTGTTCTTATAATATTTTGCAAAGCTGTTTTGATAGCACAATTTCAAGTCAGCATTCTCCCTAGCAATTTGACTACAACTTTAGTAACCAGGAAATGCATGTCACTTTGGAACATAGAAACGTGCCATAATATGTCTATCTATGTCTAATATTCTAGCGATTTTAAACAAGCATAAGCGACTCCTTATAGATATTGGGTTTTAACTATTTTAATGTATAGTGTTTTTCCCTACCCTGCACTCGTGAAGGTGGAACAACGATTAATGACGTATACAGCTTGGAGGGTCAGATCAAACACAAGGTCCTCTATATACGTCGCTATGTTCCGCAGCACGTCAAGCTCATCTTGGTCGGCCATTCTATCGGCGCCTACATTCTGCTCAAGCTTCTCGAGCAGCTCTCCGACTTGAACGTCGTCAAGGGAGTCAGCCTGTTTCCGACGATTGAGCGTATGGCTCTTAGTCCACAGGGTTCGATCGTGACTCCCATACTACGCTACCTGCGCTGGCTTGCAGTGCCACCTCTCTTCGCGCTCTCCTACGTGCCCCAGAACATCCGCGAGCAGGCGATACGATGGTACTTCCGGGGCCGAAACGTGCACATCTCAGCGGTGAGGGCAACGGAACAGCTGCTTGACAAAAGCGCCGCGCAGAACTCGCTATACATGGCCAACGATGAGATGCAGCAGGTCGCGGCGGCTGACATCGAGACGATACAGCGCCATCTACCAAGTCTGATTTTCTACTACGGCATTGATGATCATTGGTGCCCTGTCAGCTACTACCAGGACATGCGGGAGCTGTTTCCTCACGGCGACATCATACTCTGTGAGGATGGTATTGCACATGCATTCGTACTAGAAAATGGCCCCCAGATGGCGCTAAAGCTGGCACAATGGTTAGAGCCACACGTGGCAATAATGGAGGAGGTAGACAGCACATCACAATAATTAATGCCAAGACACTTTCTTATTGCGCATTTATTTGATACTGAAAATTAGTACTTATCAATAAATAGTACTGTATTTCAGTGAATTAGTTAACACTAAATGATCCAATATTTAAAAATGGGAACTTAATTTGTGCTCAAATTACAGTAGCTTGATGAAGGTATTGCTAAGTGAAAATTAATAAGTGGTAAGAATTACAGTGTAATATCCCGATTTTATGCACCCTGATTAAACGCGAATTCGGATATAACGAGATGAGTCGTTGGACCCCCTTTTTTGCTCTTATATAGCCACGTATATATAACCCCGATTTAGCGCGACCCCGCTTTTTTTGCGATGACATTTTATCATGGGTGTACATCCCGGGGGGGATGGGGGGATGCATCCCCCCCGCTCTTGAAGGAGGGGGGGATGGCCTGTACAAATATCCCCCCCTGAGGTTAAAAAAAAAACTCCCTCCGTGCCCCACTTGAAAGTTCAGCTAATTATGATAATTTGGAGACATGGGCAGACCTAAATCATTTCAATTACTGCAGGGAGGGGCGTGTACAGGGGGGGAGGGGTCCAGAGGGTCCGGACCCCCTCCCTGCTCGCGCAGAAAACGCATCTGAGGGGGTCTAATTTCAAAAAAATTCTGGGGGAGGGCCCCCAAACCCCCCCTTCGCGTGATCATCCCCCCCACTCCTCGGTACGGATTTACGACCCTGCATTTTATGGACCCCCAACCATCGCGTTATAACGGGGCTACACTGTATGTTATTATTTAAGCATAGTGTAGTCAGGCACTTCGCTTCCAGTGGATTATGTGGAAGGTGAAATTTTTTAATTAAAGCTTTATTGTTAATATGTATATTTAAAAATTGTATAAATTTATCGTGATTGACTTTCACTTTAAAATTTATCAATTCATTATTTGTTAATACATGCATCTTTATTATTTTTACTTTTTTGGATATAGCAAGCATTTTTGTGATATTATATTGTGGTGTTTCCTATGCCAATTATGAAATTCCATTTTATAAAAGTCCCTATTATAAACTACTAATGCACGAAGGGTCGTTGTCGTATAATGGCGTATAATATGTACCCGCGGTAACTATCTGATGTGGTTAGGGTTAGGGAGTAGGATTAGGCGTAGGCGACATACTCGCCGACACCTCGGTTACTACATATATGACAATGACCCCTTCAGCATTACTAATGTATTGAAATTTTTGCTCAAGATAATCATTTAATTGTCATTTTTTGACGTATATGGTATATTCTATATATATGCGTAACATGATGAACATGTATAGGCCCTACTCATATATTCAGGGTATGAAATATTATGTAGGCCCTAGAGCCAAGAATTAATAGGAACAAGACAGCTGATCTGACAGAATAAAAACAAATTTGTGTCATTCAACCCTAAAGCTAGTATATTTAAATGTGTTGGTATAATTGTGATTCTAAAGTGCAGAATAAATGCTGCCATGCAACTGTAATATTTTTTATTGCTCACTTAGAAAACTCAACAGTACTAGGCTATATAATCTTGATAATAAGTTGATGTAACAACAGTTGATTTTAAATAAAAGGTTACTAAACTTTATATAACGGGAATCATAAATAAGTTATACCACACATATACAATAGATTGTATCTTGTCTTTGGTAATATTGATAATAACTTCGTGGTCTATTTCTACGCTTTTCATATTTCATTATTTGTATATTATGTCTAATAAAGAAATAAAATTTGAAATACTCCTGTCTCGATTTTTTCCTTTTGGGTTCAATTTTAATAGTAGACTAGTTTAGGAGTTTTTATGTTTACCCTCTGGTTTAGGTGTTGTTCACTGCTATGTATAATTATAATAACCATAGATAGGCCTATCATGTAGGCCTATGTGCTATCTACAAGTACGATAACAACGGAGCTAGATTGTTCACCCTCTGGCTCTGGTGTTGTTCAATGTGTATATAAAATATATATGTGATAGTGAAATATATATCCAGAGAGACATGATACAAGATTGCGTGGCACAGCTTTGCTGTTGATCCTAAGCACTGCGCGGATGAGACGCGCAGTTCCGCGGGATATGCGCACACGACCGCGGGGATGTTCATGCAAGTATGAAGCGCTGTCCGCAGTGGAGACGTGCGCCAAATTCGAGGCCCGGCGCACGTCTCCACAGCGGTCAGCGAATGGTCTGTAGTTTTAGAAGATGACAATGATGATATATTGACGATATTTTAGGAATTGGAGATTATAAAACAGTAACAAAAATCGCTAAGTCATTCTCCAGATTAGCTGAATCAAAAATATTAGAATTAAATATGACCAAAACAAATACAATCGTTATAAAATTCACAAACAAAGAAAGGATAGAGAAGGAGATATTAATAGTCAACCAAGTAATCAAAAAATGCACCAAATATTCATACCTAGGGGATTTAATTAATGATATAGGAGGTTATAACGATATGATAAGAGTCCGAACTGAAAAATGTAGGTTAATTCATGATGAGGGAAATTATGGAAATCATACTATAGAAGCAAGAGTGCAATTATACGAATGCACAGTTTTACCTTCCTTCCTAAATAACAGTGAAAGATGGACTAACTTAACTAAGGAAGAAGTAAAAATGTTGGAGGATTTCCAAAATGAGTGCCTGCGCAAAATAATAATCACGCAGAAAACATACCGAAAGGCATTGAAAGACGATGAAAACTCCAAGGAAAGATACGGAGAAATCAGTAAAAATAACATAGTTTCTATACGTAAATCGTGGTAAATACATGTAAAAACGCATTATTTTATTGAAAATCCCCATATTTACTTAAAAAACATCCAAGAGATGGCGCTGTGGCATGTATAAGCATTAGCTCTAAACATTGTGTCTGTTTTATTGAATGGTTCAATGAATGACGCACTCGTTCACTTCCGACAGCGCGTGAAAATGCAGAAAATTGTCCTGTTTGATGCGAAATGCATCGGCCGGGCATTTTATTATTTACGAAAAGTAAACAGGCTGGGGAAAGGAACCACACGTCGGTGACACCCCATTCATGCCCATCAACGAAGAAGGCGGGGCTTATTCTGATTATGGAGATGCGAAAATGCAACAGAAGGACGTAGCGCAGTGCGCTAAACAGCGTGATATTTTCGTTTTTGTGCCAAACTCTATCGTAGGAAACCGTTCTAGCCTAGCAGAATGCCCTAGTTCTTGAGATCGGCGATTCCGTACCTCAATGGGTCCCCACCTTTGAAATTATAACAGAGAGGTACGGCGTATGCTGTGATTGGAAGACAGTGTCAATCATGGCCGCATCACGTCCAGAGGAGAGACCGGATACTAGAGAGGCGATGCGCAAAGGAGGCGTTGATCCTGACCGCTGAGCGCGGATGTTGCGTGCAGTTCCGCGGCAAGGCGCACGCGACGGCGGGAACGTGCTACGATAGTATCAGGCGCTGGGAGCTATGGATCCGTGTGCAAAATCCATAGGCCGGCGCACGGGTGCATGGCTCCCAGCGAAGTGTCGAATTTGAAAGGGGGATGCAAGCATTTTTGGGCGGGGGTGAGAACAATGGGGGGAATATTGGGGGGTACCCCCTTGAGGGGATTTGAAGGAATGGGTGACCCCCTTTGGGGGGACTTAGGGTTGGGGGAAAGGTACATTTCTAGGGGGTAAAAATTTGGGGGTTTGGGGCAAATTTGGGGGGTGCATTGGCTCCTGGGGGGGGGGGGTTATGGTGGGGGCCAATTCTAGGCGGGGGGCAATTTGGGGAGAAGGGGAATTGGGAGGGGGCACCCCCTTGGGGGTATTGGGGGCGGGCATTTCTAGGAAGGGGGAGGGAGGGGGGTTGGGGCCGATTTTTTTGCCCCCGGGGCGCCATATGTGCTAGACTCATCTGGGCCACGTTGCTACGGGCCATAGCCGCCGGCGCCGGCCTGGCTGGGTTTAGAGTATGGGTAAGGAATAATCAACGAAATTTCCCCAGCAACAGAGCACGTGTCAGTGATTGGCAGTCACCGTGTTCGTGTCTCGACGGAAAACGTTTAAACTTCATTTTTCGCCGCTATAGGACGCGCGCCCATTCGCTAAAAAACTTATGGGGTGCATTTCGAGGATATCTCGAGCTACGTGGGTAGTCAACACCGTCGTGCTATGAACAGACCTCTGGCTTTTGGTTTTCCCGGCCGTTTTCCCTATACCCTAAAGGGCCTCGAGAAAGTGTTCTTGATAGTGCAGGTTATTTGTATTGGCGGCCGCTGTGCGGCGTTTTCGCGCTGTCGCGCGTGGGTGGCTGCGAGATTGACCAGAGGAGAGACCGGATACTAGAGAGGTGATGCGCAAAGGAGGCGTGGATCCTAGCCGCTGAGCGCGGATGTTGCGCGCAGTTCCCCGGCAAGGCGCACGCGACCGCGGGAACGTGCTACGAAAGTATGAGGCGCTGGGAGCTATGCATCCGTGCGCCAAATCTATAGGCCAGCGCACGGATGCATAGCTCCCAGCAAACAGTCTCGATTTTTGTGGGGGGCCCCGGTCATCTGTGCATGCGCGAGCATTTCTGTGCGCTGCTGCTCTCTACCGTCCCTTGAAGAAACCCAGCACGATAGATTTTTGTAGACTAGTGGCACCATCTATCGGACGGCATATGTGCTAGACTCATCTGGGGCACGTTGCTACGGGCCATAGCCGTGCGTCATATGATGAGCGACCGGCGCAGGACACACGGGGGAGCGAGACGAGATGTGGGGGGTGGCGAGTCAACCCTGGGTGGTCCTTATATACGTTGACTGCCGTCGTCTTGTCAGGCGTGCAGTGAATCCCGTGTCGAAACCTGTATGTGAATCCTGTAGAATGGCTTCGATCCATAGACTATGTTTCACACCGGTCGTACATCGTAAGAACAGACGTGGGCACGTGGGGCACGTTGCTATGGGCCATAGCCATAGTACGGCCTGGCCGGGTTTAGAGTACGGGTAAGGAATAATCAGATGAAATTTCCTCAGCAACAGAGCTGGGCTATGCTAGAAGCGCACGCGCAGTGATTGGCAGGTGCCGTGGGCGTGTCTCCACGGAAAACGTTTAAACTCCGTTTTTCACCGCTATAGGACTCGCCCATTAGCCAAAAAACAAACTGGCTCATTTCGAACAAATCTCGAGCTACGTGCGTAGTCAAAACCGTCGTGCTATGAACAGGTTGGCTAAAAACTCTGGCTTTTGGTTTCCCCGGCCGTTTTACCCTATACCCGAAGATATGCGAGCAAAGTGTTGTTGATAGTGCAGGTTGTTTGTATTAGCA